AATCCTAAGCAACTGAAAAAAATAGAGAAATTAAAGAGATGGGTCCCCTCACCTTCTTATCCACGGTAGACGCGCCAGAGAGAAAGGAGAGGGGCCCTAGTTGGAGGCGCGGCGACGGCGAGAACGAGCAAGGGCGGCGGCGGCGTTTTCATGTGACCTAGGCGGCCGCTCGTTCACATTTATAGTTTCAAATTAATTTATTATAAATATATATTTTTATAATTAATCTAATGGTGTTTATTTAATGTCATATATATTAATATTTTTTATATTTATATAGTTGGTCAAACTTATAAGATACTAAAATATGATAATGTGCTAGAATTGTATTATTTATGGAGGGAGTACTGCTACAGCCCAGCTACGCGCGGCCTCAACTACGGATGGAAATGAACGGACAAAAATCTGCCTATTTTCTACTTTTGTTTCATTAGTTTCTTTTCTACTTTTGTTTGATCCGTTTTCATAAGAGAGGGGTTTCCTTCTATTTTTACAGGATCCTATTTTCATCCAGAATGAATCTGTATTTACTATGAGTTTCAATATATACGAATATACGTGACAACTACATGTTCTTGTGTTATGTTTATACACCCACTAACCACTAATTATGAATGTTAGCGTGTCAACAAACACAACATGCAAGTGAATATTAGATCTATCTCCGTACGTGTATATGGTTGTGACTTTACACATGTATACTCAAGAATATGAGATTATGCGATTTAACCTAAATGTTTCAACTACCCAGAGGTGTTGTGTGACTTTACATATACATGACATCTCTTTTTTGTTTCTCCTTGTTGAATTTTTTTTTATCCTCAAACTTTGCATGAGGATAGTTGCTTTCATCATCTATCCGCTATTTTTGGTTGAATTTTTCAAGCACTTTTTGATGGGTTTCTTGAAGAGGAACATAGGAGCACCTAAGGTCATTCTCATTTGAGAGTTCCATGGTATTGTTTACAAATAATGTCACGACCCAAAGGTTGTTCCAACTTAAACTTTTCAAAAACGCCCTTGGAAGCTCGAGAATCTAACCAACTTCTCCTTGGACCCTGAACCGAACCCTGCTACAGCTCGCAATGTGCTCGGGTCACGAGTCTTCATCAATCGTGGCATGAGCCATAGTCTCCTTTTAACTCCTTTCTAGCAAAGAACAACGTTATCAACTCAATGGGAACCTTTGGATCTAGCTCTCGAAAGACAAGGACCCCAAATTCAAGTCCTAAACCTCATAACCTTCTGTAGTGAAACAAAGTAACCTCAGGTCAACCTGATGTTTGACTAATCTAATATTCTTAAGGTTATCACCCAAGAAGTGATCTCTGAACCTCAAATGATTTCTACAATCCATATGAGATGTATTAAAGGCATTGTGTTGATGAAAAAAAGATAATAAAAGTAACCTCGCATTGTGTTGATGAAAAAAAGATAATAAAAGTTTCATAGAGTAGAGAGAATTTTACGAGGATAAAACTATTTTGTACTGTTTTCAAGACACAGGTGCATTGGAAACTAAGACATAAAACCCCATTGAGATTGGACTAAAAATACTTGGTATAAAAAAACTGTTCTCCACGCCTAAAATGTAGAATGGAAGAAGTAAACTTTAGGTTACTTTAGTTTACTTGTAGGTCTAAAGTATTTTGAGGCTGGCTAAATTTTAGACAACACTTTAGATCTGCTTGGATTGTCAAGAGTTATTAAAGTGGTCTACAGTTTAGTGGCTAAACTATAGAGTTTAGACTATAAAATTCAAATAGTGAAACATAGCTTTAGTGGATCAAGTTTGAGTTCCGTGACGATTGAAACCTGCTTTGAATAAGCACGAGGAAGAAACACGCGGATGGACACAGGTCTTGTTGTCTCGCGCACGTGTCGGGAAGGGAAGGACCTACAGAGACGCCATGGAACGCTGCAGTCTTACGGGTCGGGCCACCGGTGCCGATTAAAGATACTGGCGGACGTCTAAAGCGAACGTCCGGACGCCTGCGCCGCGTGCACTGCTCACAAGAGCATTATCGTTGCCTAGCGCATGATCATCCGTGTAGCCTACACGGCGCACTCGTCCCTGCACACTCGTGGACATGTGGCCGAACAGCCAGCGGAGCACACCTCGCTCGGCTGTAAGCTGGGCCCGCTAGCAGCCGAAACGGATCGGTAGAAAACAGCAACGCTCCAGCGTCTCACGCCGGGTGGCTGTCTCCCATGTGCTTCCTCTGGTTCCCCCCACTTGCGGATGTGCATGCAGGCTTGCCCTGTTGCTCGCCATGCCCTGTTGCTGCTCGCCCGTGTCTACACACCCTGCTGCTCGCCCGCCCATGCTTGCCCGCCTTGTGGGGACCGCCTGCACCACACTTCTCTCATGCCTACTCATGAAACACTTGCAACATGGATGACTCACTGCCAGGGCCGTCCCGGAGAGATCCAAGGCCTTATATGAAACTAAAAAATGAGGCCTACTAGTCTAGAAAAAAAAAAATAGGATCATTGCCAACATTACTGTCAAATGCTTGCACCTGGTCAAGTGTCGGATTATCAGACTTGTGATTCATTTGTAATAAACCTATCCATAGCTCTTACTGAGATTGGATTTAGTCTGGATTTGGAGCTGTTCGGCTGATGGCTTCTACCACTGATAAGTCGGCTAATGTTATTTTATTGTAAAAAAAATACTATACCATAGCTAATAAGCCGAGCTGATAAGTTCAAGCGAATGTGACTTAATCCTCTCTTCTTTGTTTTTTTCTTACGCTTTTGCCAAACCGTTTCAAATTTTCTAGACCGATTTGCAGAATGACATGATATGGCTTCGATCTTTAAACACTATTCCACTAGGCGAGTAGGTGTCTAGATAAAAAGAACAAAATTTAGAGATCGATCCGCTACTTGCTTTAGTTCGCTATAAATGAATTGAAAAAAAAAAGAAATATGAATGATTAGAATTACCTGCAGCCTTGAGGGCCTTGTCTCGGTGCCTCGCCGTTGCCATCACTCGCGATACGCGGCCCATAGGAGACAAAGAGTTTGGGATCACAGGAGTCGTGAGACAAAACGATGACGTGCGTCGGGCCAGAAAATCATTTTTTATTGGGCTTGCTAGTGGATGATTCTGTTATGAACCAACGAAACAAAACCTGCTTAGCTAGTATGGGTTATGCAGCCTGTTCGGTTGGCTGATTCGTTTCGTTGCTGGTTCGTGAAAAAAATAATGCTTCATTGGTTTGTGTGAGAGAAAAATACTATTCTGCTTGAAATTTACGATATTTATGACAAGTCACAGCCAAATGAATAGGCTGATGGTAATTGGAGGGCTAACAAAATTGGAGGCCCTACGTCGTCGCCCAGGCTGCACGCCTTGAGGGACGGCCCTCACCGCTGCAATATCCCAAGTCTAAAATAGATGAAACATTTGAAATATATGTATACAATATATATGTAGTCATGGCAACATATGCAATATTTAGATAAAACACTTGCAATATATGTTTAAAACAACTTAAACATTTAAAATATACACTCGCAACATGGTACTGAAAATAGCTAAGAACATGCATTTACAACGTACATATATAATCATTGCAATATATGTAATATGTCAATCTACTTTTGCAATATCCAGATAAAATATATGCAACCTCAAGATGAAATATTTAAAATATACGCTTACAACATGTACTTTCAATGTAATTTCACCTTGCTGCTTGGACGAATAGAGGCTCGTCATCGTGGAGCTCGACGCGCGGCGCGGAGGTCGGCGACGCATGCAACTCGCCGGTGCACCGACGGAGTGGCGAGAGCTAGTAATAATTTTAAAGCTTTTAAGGAACGGACTCTTGCGTCTCTCGAGGAAATATTATGGCAACGCCTGATGGCTCAAATGAACCGTACAGCGACGATTTGCTGCAGAACATTTACGCAAGCAAGTTCATCTCTGCAGAAGCATAGGCATCGAACCAATGCATCACAGTTCCTATTGCTACAGAAGCAAAAACACAGATGGATTACATGCGAAGCAGCCTCAACTTTATCACTAAAACTGAATCAGTCAACTAATCAGGGGATAGATAGGCCATAGATTATATTGTTCAGCACTCAACAGAGTAAACTGTACCACTTTGTTCTCTTATCTAACAAAACAGAGTAAGTTGTACCTTACCAAGCATAAAAGCTTTAATATCACTACTACAAAAGTTGGCACCAACGGCTGACACACATAACCATAAGCGACTCTTGTCAAACCCAAAAGCACAAGTCGAAAATAGCAGCAGAAAGCACTTCCCAAATCTCACTCTTTGCGAATGATATGCACATTCATCCTGTACTTCTTGGTCTTCAGTGGCTCAAAGAGGCAGATATCTCCCAGCTGCAAATTGTTATCACGTGCAAACCATGCCCACCCTTTAGAAAGCCTTTTAACTTTGCGTTGAGCTTTTGGAACCTGAATGCGGCAAATCACTTCCCAACTCTTGCCATGACACTGAAGAATCAACACTCTGCTCTTCAATGGAAGACATACATCAGAGTATTTTCTGGAGAATTCCTGGTTATAGAGGGAAATGGATTTTAGTGTTCGAAAATCAAAACAGTTGAAGTTTTCCATCGAACTTAGCTTGTAAATTTCTTCAAGGAGTCTAGGAAGCTAAACAACCTGCTTGCTGAAGGACGTGCAATTGAAATACAATATTAATATCAATCTGGAACAAAAAAAGAGAGAGAAAAACCTAACTCACCATAGCTTGAGATCTTCCAGAAATGTTTGACTTCTTCACGACACACACATAGATGGGGATTTCAGAACAAATAGCCAGGAGTCTCTCTTTCAGTTTCTTCTTTTGCATACTATCAAGGCTGGTGCCTCGTGGGAGCATGTAACTCGAAACAGAATGTGCTTCATCGCCCTCTGAAGATGTCATTCCTCCTATGACCAAACAAAACAATGATGTCATGATCTTGTAAAATCCTACTCAAGTTGGTTCAACACGGTGACTCATAACCTGAAGTGTCGGATGGGGAGGTTGATGAACTAGGAATGACATTCATATTTCCCTCTCTTTGCTTCCATGCTTCCCTTTTACTTCCAGGGGATTTCACGGGAAGCTCTTCCCTTCTTTCTCTCCCACGGATATGATTTCTCTTGACATGGCATGGCGGCATTTTCTCGCAACAACTAAGACCAAATATCAAAACCTTGAATCGAGAAGTCCCGTCGTACTTGAATACCAATAAGTCCCCCATGTTCAAGTCATGGGCAGTAACAAACTCCTTCCATCCCGTTTGAAGGACTACTTTGCCCAAATTCTTGGCTACTTCAACATCAAAAGTGTATCCACAGCGCGATTCTAGCTTAGCATTGTTTGCTATTAGCCCTCTGAAATGTTGCTCGAATTTATCAGGTATGACCTGCAGCAATATCCTCAAGAAGTTGGCTGATAGTGCAACGATTTCCATGTCAGACGTCATAACAAACAAGGAGTAGTTTTAGTACTTAGTTTGTCCATCTAAGGACCAAGTTTATCTCTAGGAACTCTTAAACTATATTAGTACGATAACATATTAAAGAATCAATAAATATTCTCAGGTTGCACAAGCATTCATCACAAATGAAAAATATTCAGCATATATAGCTTCAGAACAATTATATGGCACATGTATCTTGGGTTTCAAGTTCTATCACCAGATGTCCAGGTCTGGCTAAATCTGCATCTATAAGAGCCCAAATCCTTGTATTCAGGTTTCTTCTGGGACTTGGTTTTGGAGCAAATATAATGAACAGAGACGGGAGATGATGGAATTGCTAACAGAATACCTCCACTTCTGAGAAGGCAGAGTTGGTTCTCACAGCAAAAATTAAAAGAGAACACCTCCCAAGAACAAGAACAAAGTTGACTAGTAAACTTACCAATCGTTCACGAAAATCACCAACCAGAACCTTGAAGAAATACTTGTCCTCGTCATCATTGTGATTCGAACAGAAATCTGCATTCCTCTCCCTGCTACTCTTACCAGGCTTTCTCATCCTTACCACACCTACATCAAAGACAGGACATGCCAGAACAGAACGAAGGAAGTTGGAGAAGTACTAGACAGAAGGGTACATAATAATCGCAATGAAAAAAAAAACAAAAAAAAATCTAGAGATAAAGTTCATGAATGAATGATAATCTTTGATCATTTTGGGAAAGCCCAAGCTACGGAAGAAATATGGAGCACGGAGTACCTGCAGGTTGTTGATGATGATGCCAAGCCCAAGCTTGATGATCGATAACACGACGAGCCTGTCAGGCGTCAGAGACTGACCAAGCCTTGGATCACCTCACCTGGTGGAATAATGGAGACGCATAGAGGCAGGGACAGTTAAACTCAGTAAATATATTTGCCGTGTCTAAATCTCTGCACTTTCTTCTCATTATGTATATTATTATAGTATTAATACAGCATGAGTAGTGGTGATACTACACGTTCCATCTTCTAGAATTAGGCTCTATCATTGACACGACACACGAGTAAATGTAATGATAGCACTTGGCTATGTCATTAACATATCTTTAACATGAATTTGGAGAAGGAACTCTAACACCGTCTGATGGGATGGGACATGGGAGTATCTTACAGAGGAAGCCGCCAAGTACCCCGTCAAGGGGCCGGCCAGTCGATGACTCAACTCCGAGCTGCGCGCCTTCGTGCGTCCCCTGCAACTCTCTCTCCCCGGTTCCCCGATTCGACCTTCTCCGTTCTCTCGGATCTAACCTCGCGACCAACTCAACTCAATTTGCGACTGGCCCGGTGCCCCGACTCACTCTCGACTCTCCCACCGGGCGAATGCGCCTTGCAGGGGCTGATCTCGGCACTATTGCCGCTAGTTACGGCAGCGACTTAGCGGGCACTGTTGAAATTAATCTTATCATCGCAAGATCTTAAACCAGTCTAAACATGATCACTAACTCAACTTAGTGTGGAAATTAGATTTTAGATACTGACCAGAGCACGTAGATGCCATCTGAGGTAGCGGAGTTGATGCAGATGAAGTAGTCGTGCTTCCAAACCCCTCGCAGCGAGTCGAGCTTGTAAACCCCTTGCAGCGAGTCGAGCTTGATCGGTTTGATAGATTTAGGTGTCTGAATTCAGCTTTGGTCTTATTGTTTATATACAAATGGTGGGGTGGAACGGAATCCAGATAACACACCGCAGCGCCGAACTAAGGCCTTGTTCGGCTGGTCTATAAGCCGCTTGTGCTAACTTGTTGGGAGAGAAAAATACTGTATCATGGCTGATAAGCCGGCTTATATGAGCAGCCGAACATGGCCTAAGACGTCCAGAACGGACAGGTGGACACTTTTTTTTTTACGTTGAACAGGAGGGGCGCACCCCTACTGGTATTTATTGAAAATAAGAGTACAGTATGGAAAATAACAAAACAGGGTACAATATGGGATATAGAAGAGCCTAACAAAATGGGCTCAAGAAACAAAAAAGGAAATGAAGAAGATGAGCTCTAAAACACATATTAAACAAGGTTGTTTAACCATGATTCCACTCCTGGAAAGTAACTTCGTTTTGCGCGGAACAAAAGCAGCGCAAACTCTGATTTGAATGCCCCTTTTGCCTGTTGCAATGAAGGGGCCTGTTATTGAAAATGAGCCCATTTCTCATTTGCCATATTGTCCAACACATTATTATAATGATCTCCATGAAGAAAGTGTCCCCTTGATGAGGTATCTGTAAACCGAACCAATTCCAACAAGCTGTTGCAAAAGGGCATCCCACTTCGCTGGCTTCTGCATCCAGTCCCTCGCTTCCTCCTTCCTTCCGCGTTCACGTCCCGCGCCTACCTCGACGCGTGGCCATGGCTATCTCCCTAGCCAGCGGCGACACACTCCCCTACCCCGACGTCCTCCTCGCCCACCCCGGCTGGCCCTTTACCCCACTACGGCGGCGCCCCTCCCACCACCCCAACGTCCTCACCCACCGGAAGCGTCCAACGCCCGTGGATCCAGTGGCCCTCTCCCCCACCCCGGCGAGATACATGGAGCACGAGCAAGATCCATGGAGGTGGCGCGGCGGTGTTGCAGGGGAGTGAGCGGCTGTTGACGGTCGTTAATATCAATTATAAACCATCAATATATTCTACATATATACTTAATTCCATCACCAAATATAGGTATAGGGTTTTAAACTAATAAATTCTACGAGTTTTGGTAAATCTAAGAATGCTGGAGGGTTTATCCAGAAAACCGTCAAGGAGGATCTAATTCTCATATTTAGTCATGTTTATCTGCGACAAAAACAACTCCAGAAGACTCTAGAAGCCACCAGAAGGCAATCCACAGAAGCAGACCCTAAGAGCATGACATGTGGGGCCGGCTGGCCTAGTGGCCCCACCTGTCGCAATGAAAAAAAAATCTAGAGATAAAGTTCATGAATGAATGATAATCTTTGATCATTTTGGGAAAGCCCAAGCTACGGAAGAAATATGGAGCACGGAGTACCTGCAGGTTGTTGATGATGATGCCAAGCCCAAGCTTGATGATCGATAACACGACGAGCCTGTCAGGCGTCAGAGACTGACCAAGCCTTGGATCACCTCACCTGGTGGAATAATGGAGACGCATAGAGGCAGGGACAGTTAAACTCAGTAAATATATTTGCCGTGTCTAAATCTCTGCACTTTCTTCTCATTATGTATATTATTATAGTATTAATACAGCATGAGTAGTGGTGATACTACACGTTCCATCTTCTAGAATTAGGCTCTATCATTGACACGACACACGAGTAAATGTAATGATAGCACTAGGCTATGTCATTAACATATCGCTGAAAAACCAGGCTGAAAAGTATGGTTCGCTAATTTATTGTGAGAGAAAAAAACTATACTATAGCTGATAAGCCAGACCGATAAGTTCAAGCGAACATGGCACATTGCCAAGTCCCAACTCCCGGTTGTTTTAACTCGCAAACGGGTAACGCTCTGCGTTCACATGGTCTCAACTCTCAAGGGGTGCATTATAGGTACAGCCTTGAGTCTTGGCGCATGAGCTAGTGGCAAGCAATTCAAGCGTCGCCATTATTAGACATACATACTCCACTAATCATCGGGACCATTAGCAATTCAAGCGTCGCCATTCTAACAGCATATTTGGAGCTAGCATTGAAGCACATTGATCGACGGTACTGCACCTTTTGCATGAGGATGTATGTTATGAACGACGTATAGGAATATAAAGTAAAGAATCAAGTCACAAAGGAGACACACGATTTAACGTGGAAAACCCCTCCGATGTGAAGGAGAAAAACCACGGGCACCAGCCAGCAACAATCTCACTATCTCAAGAGTTTTGGGTTACACGCCTATGGCGGCTTACAAGAGAATCAAGTCTCCACGAAACCCTAGCAAGGGTGTATATACCGTACCGTACCACGGGGGGCTCCGCCCCCTGCACCTCCCGAGCACAGGGGCGAGACCTGATGGGCCGGCTTCAGACTCCGCTACGCTCCGGCCCAAGCCTCCGGCGACGGGCCTCCGCTCCGCTCCGTCAGAAGCCCGGCCTATATCCTGGAGTGAATTTGGAACAACTCCAACAAACTCCACCTTGAGACAAATTCATCTTGCATCATAAATCAACCCTTCATCCTGAACATAACAAAGATAGAAAACCACTGGTGCCAACAATAGTCTCTTGGACTATCCAATTAAACCAACTAAGCTTGAGCACAGCTCAAACTTAGCAACAGGAACAGGCTTTGTCATCATATCAGCAGGATTATCATGAGTACTAATCTTGCATACCTTCAGCTTACCTTCTTCAATCACATCACACACAAAATGATACTTGATATCTATGTGCTTAGTTCTCTCATGGAACATCTGATCTTTAGTGAGGTAAATTGCTTTTGACCGTCACAAGTGCAAACTTATGCAAGATTCAACTCCACAAAGCTCAAATAGACAAACCTTTCACCAAATTAATTCTTTGCACGCTTCACAAATAGCCATATATTCTGCTTGATAGTAGACAAAGCAACAATCGATCGTAAAGTAGCCCTCCAACTCACAAAGACAACCGCCAACAAGAAACACATAACCTGTAAGTGATCTTCACTTTGTCCGGATCAAGTGACATAATCAGAATCCACATAGCCAATAAGACCCTTATCAGTTCTTCCAAACTTTAAACAGAATCTTTGCCTCTCCTGAGGTACCTAAAATCCACCGAATCGCCCTCTAATGTTCTTTTTGCCGAGATTAGACATATATCTACTAACAAGACTCATAGCATATGACAAATCTGGGCGAGAGCAAACCATGGCATACATCAAAGACCCAACACACTAGAATAAGGAACCCTTGACATGTATTCAATCTCTGCATACATCTAGTATTTCAGGACACCGAGCGGTGACAACTTAAAGTGAGGTGCAATAGGGGTACTAATAAACTTTAGCATTTGCATGTTGAAACGTCAAGAACTTTCTTGATATAATTTTGTTGACTAAGAAATAGCAAACCAGATTTTCTGTCTCTACTAATTTCCATACCAAGAATTTTCTTAGCACTACCAAGATCTTTCATATCAAAACCACTACTCAATAGCTTCTTTAACTTAATGATTTCAATCTTACTCTTGGCAAAGAATCAAAGATATCATCAACATATAACAACAAATATATAGGTGATCCATTAACATGCTTGATGTAAACACAATATCATACTTAGATCTTTTAAAACTGTGTGCTAACATAAATGAATCAAACCTCTTGTTCCACTAACGAGGGACTGTTTCAAACCATACAAGGATCTCTTCAACTTGCACATATATTTTTCCTTGCTGTGCACTATGAACCCTTCCGGTTGGTCCATGTATATGTCCTCCTCAAGCTCTCCATGCAAAAAAACGCCGTCTTCACATCTAACTTGCTCAAGCTCAAGATCATGTGAAGCGACAATACTAAGGAAAGTACGAATTGAACTATGTTTTACCACTGGAGAGAACACATCATTGTAGTCAACACCGAATT